CTAGGGGTGCAGCCCCAGGCCCCACCGTCTGCTCCTCGTCATCACCTGGGTAATCACAGGCCCCACCGTGGGACTCAAGAAAGAGACCAGAGGGGCCGGCCAAATACCTCAGCGGATTAAGGCCGGGAGTTTGATCCCTGGGCCTGCCGTGCTGGCCCCGCACCCAGGGTGTGCTGAGACGCGATTGAGACTGGGCGTGGTGGGGCAGGCCTGTAATCCCAGAATTTGGGAGGCTGTAAACAGTAGAATCACTACTAGTCTGATCTAGTAGTGAGGCCCTGTACACCCTGTACACCCTGTCTTAAATACAAAAGAAAGAAAGAAAGAAAGAAAGAAAGAAAGAAAGAAAGAAAGAAAGAGAGCAAGCAAGAAAGAGAGAAAGAAGAGAAAGAGACCAGAGCCAGGAAGCCTGGGTCTTAGCCCTGCTGGCTGTGTGAACTTGGACAAGGCCCCAACCCCAGCTGCTCCTCAGCCCAAGGGGGCAGCCGCAGCAGATGCAGAGGAGAAGGCGAGGCAGCTCCCCCCCGGGGCCCCTGCTTTCCCACGCCACAGCCCAAGAGAACAAGGACCAGACAGAGCAGCAAGGGACACAGAGACTGCACCTGGGCAGCGGGGGAAGGGGACTGGGGGAGCAAGGGTCCCCGCAGAGCCCTCAGACCCAGGTAAAGGCTAAGCCAGGCCTGAGTGCCACTCTCAGAAACACCTGCACGGAGCGCTGGCCCAGGCGGGGTTCCACCCCGGAAGCCCCGGGCCCTCCTTCCCCTCTGGGAGCAGCCCCGTACCCTGCTCAGACCCCATGATGCCATCGGACAGTCTCAACAGAGCAGAGCGGTGACAAGGCCCGGCCAGCCCTTCTCGCCTCTCCAGAGAAATCAAAAGCGTCAAAGCCCGCTTGCTCCGCCAAGAGAGCCCTGGATGCTGCGTCTGCCCCCAGGGCTCCCCGAGAGTGGGGAGACCTCGCCCGGGCTGCTGTGCACGGATGGCCTGTTTTCAGCTCAGCACCGCAGATGCCCTGACAGACTGCCAGCTAAGATGGCGGGATGGTGGCTTCTGAGGAAAGACAAAAGATCCCACCCGTCGCCTGTGCTCCCCTGCGGCCACGGCGCCTTTTCCTGAGCACCCGTCCCAGGGCTGTGGACCCGGCCCTCACCTGCTGGGACCCCCGTGGCTTCTCACCCCCAGACCGAAGGGTCCCAGTGGCTTGCACCAGGGACAGGGATCCCCACCCCCGGGGCCACCCCGCACAGACCCACAGGGAGGGCTTTTCCCTTGCAGCGCCTAGAGCTGCAGGAGTCACCAGGCACCCCCACCCCCGCTCCCTCAGGCCTGGGCTGCGACTCAGGTGCACTCACCACACTGCTGCTTCAGGTTTTTAAAAATACTGCTGGGTAAACAGAGAGGGAAGCAGAGCAGTCCCCACACTCCATAAATCCGATCCACCATCCGGCTCACTTAAAGATGGTTTCCCAGGAACTCAGCCCTGCCGCTGACAGAGGGCCAGCCTGGCCTCGTGGCGTGGACCCACTGCCCCTAGCTGGAGCTTCCTGCCTGGTCACCTGGCCACCTCCCCCCACCCGGCATCAAGCAACTTGAGAAGTGTTCTGTGTGAGCTTCAGATAAACACCAGTTATGCTGGGCCTAAGGGTGTCAGGGGATGGGGGGCATCACCTGGCTCCCAGCATTCCCTGCAGCTCCGCTTGGCCAAGGGGAAAGTGCTGGTCCCAGCCCCAAGGACAGAGCCACCCGGATACAGGGATACAGGGGGGGTGGGTGTGTGAAAAGGCCCCTCAGCCCCTCCTCCCACCTGGCTCCCAAATGTATCAGATGCACTGAAGGCCCGAGGCAGGGCCAGCGGCAGGGCCAGGGCCTGCCACACCCACTGGGACCTAGGACGGCTCCGGTGCAGGAACTGGGTCCTCAGCGTCTCTCTGCTAGGGACCTGCGCACAGAGCAAGAGGCTGAGCAGTGGCATGGTGACCCTGGGCCTCCCAGCCTCGAGGAGCAGGTCTCTGTCCTGGTCATTGCCCTTTCCCTTTGTCTACCCCAGCCAGCCCCAAGCGTCTCTCCCAGGCCTTGGGGTCCCATCTGACTCATGGGTTTACCTCCAGGGTGCTACCCTGGGCCCACCTGTCCTCTCCACTGACCCAGAAACATTTCCCAGGACCATTCTGGGGCTGTCCAGGTGCCCCCATCTCAGGTATCAACAGTGCCACCTCTCCACGCTGCACTAGGATGAAGTGGCCCGGGGTCAGCCGGCTTCTGCCTGTAGTCATTGTGGGGAGGTTTGTTCCTGCCTCGTAGCTGAGAAAACCAAGACGAGTGCAGGGCCCCAAAGGCCAGAGCCAATCTGTGCATCGGGGGCAGGAATGCCCCTTGGGCCTCGCTGTCTGCATTCCCCAGGCTGTGCCTGGTACCCCATTTCTGTGGCCCCTGGAAGAACAGGTGACTCCCCAACACACACACAGCTGGAGCCCCCAACCCTGGCCTTTCCCAGGTCAGCAAACTCTGGCCTCAGTGCTTGTCTGGGAGCGGTCACCGAGCCCCTAACAGAGTGACTTCCCCAGGCTGGCCACACCTGGACTCTGCACTCCCTCCAGGGACAGTGGGCACCGAAATAGGTCCACATGGCCACGCCAAGGACAGACACACTCCCCATGAACGATGGACAGCAGCATCCAAGGTGCCGGGTGAGCCAAGGGTGCCCTTGCGGACCCCACTTATGCCCCCGCTTCTTGACACAGCCTCTGCACCAGGCTCTGTCCCTGAGCAGGCTCCCTGGGACCAAAGGTTGAGGAGGCCAGTGCAGGACGTCGCTGACAAATGGGCTACTGAAGGGCCGGGTTGTTTTCCTGGGCTCTGGAGGGGGCTGTCAGGGAGATGGAGAGCTGGGGCCCCAGATGCAGGCCTGGGGGCTGATGGACATCAGCAGCTGCCAGGGCGCCAGGGTGCCAGGGCGGGCTCCAAGCACAGCACACCCCACTGTGCCCACGACCTCCTGACCTCCAGGCCACCCCACCATGACCTGGGCTCAGACTCAGAGCCAGATGGGAAGCCAGAGGAGCCAGACCCTGGCTGGCCACTCCCAGGAGCTGACACGGGTTGTGGCCCAGTGGCTGCACCTCACAGAGGCTCCCCCCCTGCCCTCCCCACCCTTCTCAGACCCGGCTCTGCCCCAGCCTCGGTTTCCTCACCTGCACGCCCACTCCTCCTGCTTTACCCAACAGCTTTGTGAGAACAGAGCCGGCATGGCTGAGGGCAGTCAGGCTTGTGTGCCCACTGCCCAGGAGACCTGTGTCCCAGAGGGGGTCACAGAGTGGAGACCACACAGCCACTCACCCATTATAGCACCCTGTGCCCTGGGATTGTCCTGCTGGGGGATCCCTACCAGAACCCCTCTCTCCAGCCCCCTCCCCCAAGGGGACTTGGGGTCTTTGGGACAGGCCAGCGAGACCCTACTGAGGGGAGGCCCTGGCACTGTTGCCCTGCCTCTGGCAATGGAAATGTGGGGAGCAGAGAAGTCGGGCACTGTGGGAGTGGGTGTCATCTTTGGGAAGCGACAGTGACCCCCAGGGATGGCCAGGAGGCAGTGACCAGGGCTACCAGGCACTGAGGTGGCGCTTGGCCCGGAGACCCACATGCAGAGCACCGAGGACGCCCACTGGGGAGAACCCCAGGGGACGGAGCAGCCCCACACCCAGGGTGCCTGGACCTCTGGGGGCCAAGAGGGAGACAATGGGCAGGCTAGGGACAGCACACCAAGGGGTGAGTCCCAGAAAAACTTGGGACTTCCCTGAAAAACTGCGTGATTGGTGAATGAGCTGGAGTTTAAAGAGGACAAAGAATCAGGTGGGCTTTTTAGAAGTTACTGAATGGAGCCAGGCATGGGCGCATGCCTGTCATCCTAGTATTCAGGAGGCTGAGGCAGGAGAATCGCTGCAAGTTCAAAGCCAGGCTGAGCCACACAGTGAGACCCTGTCTTAAAAAGCAAATAAAAGGCCTTGACCCGGGCGACAGTTGCTTGGGCAGAGAGGAAGGAATGTTTTCCGGAGTGTGTCTCTCCTTAGACTCCAGACTGTAGTGGGCCGCCGGGACCTGCAAACAGGATTTCTTCTAATCCACCTTCCTCCGCAGCAGCCGCAGAAGGAACTTGAAATCCCCGTGATGGCGGGCGTCTCCAGCACTTATTTGCCGCCCCTCCTGGGAGTTTGGCTTCTGGTAGATTCTGACTCGGGTTTTTTCCAAATTCAAGACTGGGAGAATTTTGTTAACAGTGCAATAAAAATAACTTTATGGTGTTGGAAGAGTCACACAGACAGGGTGTGTGTGTGTGTGTGTGTGTGTGTGCGCACGCGCACGCACTGTAGCGTGGTTTTCTCACTCCTTAAAAAAAAAAAATACAGACAATGTTTTTTTAAAAGCCCAGCTGCAAATCCCATTACTCTCTCGGATAAGGTTTCTGGCCAGGAGTCCCTGCCCATGTTCTGGTTGGAGGGGACCCACGCCGCCCCTCCCTCTCCTCTCTCACGTTTCACCGCTGAAATTTGTCACTCTCTCCCCACCGCAGGATTTAAAAGTGTCTCCACCCTGGGCCAGCGGCCACTGCTCTGGGCTCTGTCCCGTTCCCCGTGCCGGAGCAGGTCGGTGGACATGTGCGGCACCTTCCTCGACACACAAGGGGCGCCCCAGGAGCCCTGGTGGCAGGCCAGATATTGGGGTGCAAGAGGCACGCACGCCCCGTAGGCTTGAAGGACAGACTGTCATTTTGGTTTGGGTCTTGTCTTCTAGGGTGAATTTTTTTTTTTTTTTTTTTTTTTTTTTTTTGGCGGCACCGGGGATTGAACTCTGCCTGGGAAGCGCTTATTCCACTGAGCCGTCTCCCCGGCCGTGGGGTGACTATTCTTTATTGAGCATTTTCCCTTCCCGTTTGGCTTTTGGTTTTGCACTGTCTAACCCCTGCCCCTAAGAAGTGCAAGGGGGAGAAGGTGGTGGGCGTGGAGCTCATGGACCCCACGGGCAGCCCCTGCCTGAGGAGCCCCCCGGGCCCGGCCCCACTCTGGGATGGCCTGCGGAACGCCCACGCCGAGGGCCGCGCGGCCTCGGGGCCGCCCCACTGCCCGCCGGCCGCGTTCTCCTTCCGCCAGAAGCCAGACTTCCTGGCCTCCGCGGCGGCGGCGGCGGCGTACCCAGACTTCTCGGCCTCCTGCCTGGCCGCCGCCCCGCACAGCTTGCCCCGCGAGCAGCGCATCTTCACGGAGCAGCACCCCGCCTTCCCGCAGCCGCCAGACTGGCATCTCCCCGTCCCTGAGGTGCGGCAGAGGCCACATCCCGGCCCCGTGGGGGGCCCCGGGGAGACTGTGGCCAGCAGCCCCGGCCTGGTGGAGGCCGCAGGAGGCCCTGGCGAGGACTGCGGAGTGCAGGGGAGCTCGGCCGGCGACGCAGAGAGGACGCTGTGCAGGCGGAGGAAGGCGGCGGCAGGTACGCGGCGCCGGGGCCACTGGGGGGTACGGTGCGGCCGGGAAGCAGCTTCCCCTGTGAGCCTGGGCGCTGACCAGCAGGCTGCGTGGCGTCCTCAACAGGGACATGGAGACTGGGGCCCTCTGCGTGGCTCCGGGAAGCCCTGGACAGTGATGGGGCTGTCTGTGTCCCCAGCGAGGGCCCTGGGTGAGAGCAACGGGCAAGAGGCACAGAAGATTCCGGGGTCAGGGACAGAGCTGCGGGCATGGGCCGGGCGCGACAGGTGACAGGGCTGCCGGGAGTCCTGGGCTCGGACCAGGGCCTGTGACTTGGTGGTCCCAGCAGCCTATGGAGGCAGCTGACCATGAGAACCTGGGCACAGAGCCTGGCTGGGCAGGCCCAGGGGACAGCGACCCTCGGCAAGGAGCCCGGGACCCAACAAAACCCAGCTCGGCTGGGGTCCAAGGAGGGCGCCTGCTGTGGTCTCCTGGGTCCGGGCCCAGGAGCTCCAGCTGAGGGTGACAGCAGTGGTAGCACCCAGGTGGGACATCAGCTCTTTCCGGTCCCCAGGTTTGCAAGGTGGGGACCGCAGGGCGTCAGTATCTTGGCTTGGTATGCTGGAGAAAGATGAAATCTGTGGCACAGCAGGAGCAGGTTTGCATCGAGTCAGCAGCTAAGCACAGGCCTTCCAGCGTCCCTCAGGCAGTCACCCTGGGGTGGCTCAGGCCTGGACCTCACACTAGGCCTCACACCCCACACGCCTGCTCCGTCGTTCTGGGCTGACACTAGGCCTGTGCTGGGTGCCCTCCCTGCAGTGACAGAGAGTGAGGCCACCCCAGCATCCCACCCAGCCACTCTGCGGAAGGCTACTACGTCCATTCCCCTGGGGGTAAAGTCCTGGCTGTGTCCCTGCCCTTCTGTCACCTGCTGTCTCTGCTCCCATTTCATGGCTGGTCCAGCCCTTTCCAGGGCACTGATGCCCAGGGCACCAGGGTGGCACTAGCAAAGCCAAGAGACTGCTAGGCACAGGTGGAGGGCATCCCTGTCCAGCAGGCTGCCCACACCTGCTGGCGCCCACAGGGTCCGCCTCTTGGGGAACGTCCCCACCCTAGAGAACCCTGGGGCTCTCAAGAGCAGTGGCCGGCAAGCTCTGAAGGGGTTTCCCTGCCTCCGGTCTCCAGTTGGCCCAGCGTGGTCCCAGTGTCGAGGGTGAGGCCAGCTCAGTGGAGCCCGAAGGGGGGTATTAGGCTCCCCCAGTCGCCAGCTCTATCCTCTTTGCAAGTTCCCACTTTGTTCACCTTGAGTTCGTGGGGATGGGTGCTGGGCCAAATCCGGGTTCTCCCCTGAGCCGCACCCTGCCACAGACTATTTCTGTGGAGGCACCCCACGCTTCTCCCACTGTAAATTGGGGTGCAGCGCGGCACTTCCAGCACGCGTCTCTGCGGAGGGCCTGGCAGGGTCCCGACTGTCCACATAACCCTGGCCACACACCATGCTGTGAACAGCGTGGGCAGGGTGCCTGGCTAGCCCTCAGGACCCAGGGGTGACAGTTACTCCTTGGGGGCCGAGAGACACAGGAACTTGTACAGTTTGCCCTACAATCCAGCAGGCATCTGTGAGGAGCTTTGGGCTCGGCGACCCACTGCAAGGTCCGTCGGTGGGTGCTGGGCTGGTTGGCCTGGGGTGCCCCGCAGCTGAAGGCACTGATGGAGGCGGCTCCTCCCCGCCATCCCCCTGCTCCCTCAGGACCCAGGATGTGGGGCTGGGCCTCCCTGCTCAGCCCTGCCTCCCACTCCCCAGCAGGCAGGGCCAGCGCTGTGGCGGCGAAGACCCCTGCCAGCAGGACAGCTGCAAGCCCCACTGCTGTTTCCCCCAAGCTGTCATTGCTACTGTGGTGCACCGGCTTTAATTTATGGCAAGGAGGGATTTCGTGGTGAATTCCTGGCGGGGTTCAAGGGAAGGTTGCAGGCCCTCCCGCCCTTTGTTCTGCCTCCTCCCCGCCCCGCCCCAGTTGCTTCTGCCCCCTCCCCAAACCTGCCAGGTTAAAGGAACACAGTCAGCTCGGTCCTGCCTTGCACCCGACCTCCCTCGGCCCCTGTCACCCTGCCACGCACACAGGTGCACACACACACACACACACACACACACGTGCACGCGCACAGACGCAGTCTCACATGTGCACACCCACGGTGCACTGGTGTTTCCAAAGTCCTGCACGTTCTAACACCTCACTCCATCTCCCCCCCAACCGTATTTTCTCCCTATCTGAAATATTTCGACTACACTTGCACACGGCACCCTATCAGCGAAAGCAGCCGTGAGGAAGCCTGAACACCAGAGATCTCCTGGAATTGGTGCTGGTTTCGTAACCCCAGCTGCAGCCTCAAAAAGGAAGTTGGGGTCTGACACCCCTCATTCTGCAGGCTGATGCTGGAAACCTTTTTCTGTCATTGTGGCCCAAAAAATCCCTCAGCATGACACTTACTGCCTGAACCCTTTTGGAGCGACCTGAACAGCCATCGCCGGCAGACCCTTGGTCCTGCAGCATCTCCGGAGCTGCGCCCAGGCCCAAGGAGTGGTTCCTGGGTCCCCTGCCCCAGCCCCTGGTGGCCACCACACTGCGGCCCGGTGTTGCTGGCTGGGTGCCTGTGGCGTGCAGCCCTGCGGGGTCTGGCTTTCTGGGCCGGCCTCACTGCACTCGGCGCAGTGTGCTCACGTTTCGTCACCTTTGTCGCATGCACAGAATTTCCTCCCTTTGGGCTCAGCAGCACCCCACAGCAGATAAACACTGCATTTTCTTTCTCTGCTCATGTTGAGGGACACATGGGTGGCTTCAAAATCTCAAGTGATGCGGGAATAGACGCCGGCAGCCAAGTCTGGGTTTTCAGTGTTCTCAGTGTTTCGGGTGCTTATTTGAAGCGGAACTGCCAGATCACAGGGTGACCCTGGTCTTCGAGGCACCCCCCGGCCGCTGCCCCGAGACGCAAGGGCCCCAACCTGCAGCACTCGTGTCTCCTCTTCAGCAGGTGTAGCAGCGCTGTTCTGTCCTGCTTTTGCCTGGGGCGGTCGCGCCAAGTCCCTCATCCGCTTGCGGGACGCTGGGTATCTCCCTTGGAGAAGCTGAAGTTCTTCACCCATTTTTTTTTTTTTTTTTTCAGAACCAGGGATTGAACTCAGGCCCTTGCACTTGCCAGGGAAGTGCTTATTCCACTGAGCCATCTCCCCAACCCCTCTTCACCTATTTTTAATTGGGTCATTTGGGGGGTTTTGTGGATGAGTTGCAGTTCTTTATATATTCAGAATACTCATCCCTAGCAGATGCTAATTCGCAAACAGTTCCTTCTGTGCCACAGGTTCCCTTTTCACTCCGTTGACTGTTTCCTTGGCTGTGCACGAGTTTTTAAGTTTTTGGGTTTTTTGAGACAGGATCTGGCTATGCAGCCCTGGCTGGCCTCAAACTTCAAGTGATCCTGCTGCCTCAGCCTCCTGAGTGGTAGGGTGGAAGGCGTGCCCTCACACCCGGCTGGATTCACTCTTAAGTATTTTATTTTATTATTTATTTATTTGCGGCACTAGGGATCGAACTCGGCGCCTTGGGCTTGCCATGCAGTCGCTTACGGCACTGAGCTGTCTCCCCAGCCCTAGGTATTTTATTTGTTATGTTGTTGTAGATGGAATTATTCCTGCTCACTCTTCGGATTGTGCGTGCTTGTGCAGAGGCCCAGGGGAGTTTTGCCCGCCGCTCTTCAACCGGCGGCTCCGGGCACGCGTCCCGCCTTCCATTTCTTCTGCCGCGGGGCTCTGCGTGGAAGAGCAGATGCCGAGCAGGTGCGGCCCTTGTCCCGCCCGGGGCTGGTGCTGAGTTTCGTCTTGCCCCCAGCTTCCGCGAGGTGGGGTCCTCTCCCAACCCCTGCCTCCTCCGTTGACTCGACCCCCCTTACAGGGAGCCTCACGCAGCCACGGCCCCCACAGTGCTGGCGCCCGGGATTGCCTGACTCTGGGTTCCTCCGCACTGTCCAGCGCCGGTGGCCTGGCGGGCACGCCTGTGCTTGGCTTGACTCGCCCTCTCCTGCTCCACTGCCTGGGTGAGGGCTCGCGGCTTGTCCACATCTGTGGCATCAGCTGGCATGGTGGGGCCGGCAGTGACCTTCACACTGGCTAGGGGAAGCAGAGAGTCCCTTCCAGCAGGGCGAGGAGCCTAGCGCCGTGCTGTGCGCGCAGGGATGTGGGTCATTCTGCCTCCGCGGCCCCCAGCGCTAGGCTTTAAGAGCATTTTCCACACACACTACACCCAGTCTCCTCAGAGCAGCCCTGGGAGGGTCCTGGAGCCCGGAGAGGCTGTGCGACTTCCTCAGAGCATCCCATTGTACTCTGCCGAGTGGTGACAAGGCAAAGCTGGGGACGCCCGGCCCCTGGAATAGGAGGTGGTCAGACAAATCCAGACTCCTTGCCCATGTGCAGGGTGTCAGCTCCGCCTCTGCCTCTGCCTCCCAGCGTGGGAGCGGCCCAGGCCAGGGAATCCGAGCAGAGCGGACAGAGGGCGAGGAGGAGAGGGAGCCCCTGGGGCCCGGTGGCTGCGGTCCAGAGAAGGTGGGCTGTGGTACCCGCTGTGGTCTCAGCCTTAGATTCTGGGTCTGGGGTCAGGACAGTGGCCACAGGCTGGATGTGGTCGTTGGCTAGTGGCAGGCACCAGGGCCACTGCGCTGTGGGCTGGGCTCCTTCCTATGTGGTCCCTGCCCCACCACACTGGGGGAACCCAGGCCTCTCCCACTCTAAGCTCTGCCCTCTGGTCTGTAAAATAGGCCGCCCCTCAACGCACCGGTGAGCAGTGTGAAGATGGGGTGCTGGGCCGGTGGGGTGCTGGCACGAAGATGCATCCCGGGCCATCAGCAGGCAGGACTGAGCCCCGCTGTGTCCCTGGGAGCTCCCAGCCCAGGCCCCCTGCCTCTCCCAACATGGCCCTGCAGGGTGGGTGACCTGGCCCGGTGACCAGCTCCCAGCAAGGCTGCTGCTGCCTCCCCACCCCAACCTGCAAAGCAGGAGCAGTGGCCTGGGCACCCGGCCCTCCCGGGAGTGCCCCACAGGGTCACCTGTCTCTGACTTGGCGTGTCCGAGGCAGGCTGAGGCCCTGTGTGTTTACAGGAGCCTTGGCTCCCCGTGTCCTGCGGGGTGGCTGTCGACGGGCGCTCAGGCAGTAGCTGAGAGCTGCTTCCTGTGCAGGCAAAAGTCTTGAGGCTTGTCAGAGGGTGGAAGGGCACAGTGGCTTCTTTCTCAGCATTCCTTGGAACATGGGGGTGGGGACGAGGACCAACTGTGTTCCCAGCACTCTCCGAAGCTGAGGCAAGTTTCAGCCCAACCTGAACAACTTAGCAATTTAGTGAGAGCCTGTCTCAAAATAAAATATAAGTGGTTTTTTTTAAAAGAGTTGGGGATGTGGCTGTGTGCCAAGGCCCTGGGTCCCTTCCCTGGCAGGGGCGTGGGCCTGGCTGTCTGGGGCAGGAGGAAGGGATTCACCTGCTCATGTGCTGTGGGGTGGGGCCTCTCTCCCAGACCTGCAGGAGCCCCGCGGGAAGGCCCGCAAGGAGAGGACAGCCTTCACCAAGGAGCAGCTGCGTGAGCTGGAGGCCGAGTTTGCGCACCACAACTACCTGACGCGGCTGCGCAGATATGAGATCGCCGTGAACCTGGACCTCTCCGAGCGCCAGGTGTCTGTGCCGCCCCCCAGGCAGGCGGGGTAGCATAGGGTGCCCCAGGATCACGAGGTGGGAGGACCCTGCACGATGGAGCCTGGCACCCAAGGTCTCCAATGTTCCCCAGCGACTCCCGGGGCAGCTGGGGTCAGCACCACGGGCGCTGGACTCACCAGGCACTGCCCAGATTGCAGGTTCTGGGCTCAAGGGGGCAGACTTGGAATCTGCCCCTCAATTCGGCTCTGCAGGGGTGCAAGGTACCACAGGCTCCTGAGCACTTCAGACAAATGGCCCTGGGCCTCCAAGTGGGCTCGGGCCTGGGGGGGTATAATGGTAATGATGACAATCTGAGGCAGCCGCTTGGGGCGGGGGCACTGTCCAGAGTGTGGGATATTAAACCAGACTTAGGTCCAAACCCTGGCTGCCCTGTCACACACCTCTGGATTCCGCTGTAAAGGGGGTTACAGTCCCACCTGCACGAGCCACTGCGGTTCACAGGAAAGGCTGGGCAGAGCTGTGCCTGCTGACCAGGCTCTGGCAATGTCCATCCGGGCATGAAGCTTCACCCAGGACCCTAGGGCAGGGCGGGGCAGGAGATACCACCCCAGGAGGGCTGTGTGGAACAGGACCTCACAGACCGCACCTCTGTGAAGGGACACATCCAGAGACTTGTCTGGGCAGACAGGGGTATCCCCTTTGGCCTGTTCTCAGGGCCTCGGTAGGGGCATTTGGTGATGGTTGCTGTCCGTGTCCACATAGGCTGGTTCACTCTGGCCCTGAGTGACCAGGGCCCTTGGCTTCCTCCCCAGGTCAAAGTGTGGTTCCAGAACCGGAGGATGAAGTGGAAGCGGGTGAAGGGGGGCCAGCCCGTCTCCCCCCAGGGTCAGGACATTGAGGACGGGGACTCCCCAGCCTCTCCCAGCTCAGAGTGAGGACTGTCCTGGCTTCGGCATTCGCCTTCCGGGGGAGTCACACGCCACCCCCCCCCCGAGCTGCACAGACCAGAAGGCGCTCCAGGAAGCTGCCTCTTGGGGTCTCCTGACCACCTCCTCCTGCCACACTCCTGCAGCCCAGACTGGCCTCTCCTGGACCTGGACACCACCCAGCATGAGGAGTGAGGCCCCGGGGATCCCTGGTGACTCTTAACGTAAATGCTGAGGACAGAAGCACAAGCTGGATACACACCCATGGCCTCTGCTCCTCTCAGCTCTTGGGGGCATGAGGGCACAGTGACCCTAGGGCTGAGAGTTTCCACACCCAGGACATGACAGTGAGGACAGAGGCAGCCACACATGCCGGCTCCCTGGGCAGCTGCACCTCCAGGACAGACGGGCAAAGGCCTGGCCACGGCAGGTCTGCTTCTCGACCGGGGACTTCTGGATGGAATCCCCTCGATGTCCGTGTGTGGAGCTCAGTGCTGGACAGTGGCTCTGTGTCCTGGGAGCAGGAGGTCACATGAGAGGCCAGCTGGGGGCCCAGGACAGAGCTTGGGGTGGAAGGTTCTCCAGCTACATGTCCTGTGCTTCCCAAGGACTCCGACCGCGCCCAGGACAAAGACACAGCCTGAGGGGTGGGCACAGGAACTGCTGTGGCCCCTGGGAAGTCTCCCAAGATGGGTGGTCAAACCTCCGGGGAAACTACAGCCCTGGCAAGGGGTGTCCACTCCAGTTGGGGCTTCTAATCCTAGTTGGTGTCGCAGCCGGAGGTCAGCAAGAGTTGGGATCTTTTCGAGTAGGCTTAATCCTTCATATGCAGAAAGGACCCTCCCTCCCACCCCAAGTGATTGCCAAATGGGCTGGCTGAGAGTGCACGGGTAGTTCTTTCCTAGAGCATGCTTTGTACATTTTCTTGGATGACACCCATCTAACTACCAGGTCAGTTCACTTTGAAGGGAAGAATGGACAAATAAAATCAGTAAGAAAGCAGAGTTCTTGGGTGCTTTTCTTTGCAGAGATCAGAGCCAGAACTCTCACGTGTAACCTTCTCATTATCACTTGTGGTCACCCAGTTGCCACCTGCTGTCCAAAGCCAGTGAGGCACAGGAAAGACTACACCCAGAATCTCCTGAGTTCTTCTTTTTTTCTTCTGTATTCAGTACAGGGTTCCTGAGTTCTTCCAAAGCTGGGTACAGATCTAATCACTGGAAAAGAATAAAACAATTTTTTTTTAAAAAAATCACATTATCCTTAACTGTTGAAAGATTAAGTATGCAATTTTTCAAATCACAGTTAAAAGTAAGAGGGACCCCTTTATGGAAACTCTGTAGCGCCGTGCTGTGCAGCCACATGCTGCGTGTAACAGTAAGGTCTCAGCCGTGCCTGACCGTGCCGCCACAAGGGACACCAAGAGTCCAGGCACCCAGTGACACAGCGACAGGCACTACACAACTGCGGGTTTGTGGTGTAAACAGACCCGCACTGCCAGCCATACAAGTGCAAGGCATACAGTTACAGTGCATAGTACTGGTTTTTTTTTGTTTGTTTGTTTGTTTGTTTTTTGGAAGGAAAGGCTTATTTAGCTCGCAGTTTATGAAGGCTTCAGTCCATACTCGGCCGGCTCCAAGGCAAGGAAGTACCTGGCAGAGGACAGCATTCGTAATGGGGGAAAACAGCGAGGGCCCAAGAAAGTACATAATACTTGATAATTAATAGCCATGTTCCTGGGCGATGGATTTACTGTACTATATTTTTATTGTTAGAATATGCTTCCACATATTACAAGTTTATTAGAAAACGGCACGTTTGTTAAAATGCCTCGCACATCTTACTGGTGCCGCTCCTCCTCGCTGCAGCGACCTCGAGTGACTGAGGTGCTGTCTAGGATCACACACCTACAACCTGTCATTTGTAAGACTTCAAGACTGACTGAGGAAGGGTTTATGGGCAAATAAGCCCAACATCAAGTGGGAGATGGTGTAGATCAAAAGCAGGCACTTGAGACTGATTCAGACCTTGCTGGCTACAGGGCACACCGAAAGATGCCGTTAGGTCTCAGCCTCCTCGGGCAGCTCGTGCGAAGCTCTTGCCGTGTGTGTGTGAATTCCGGGGTTTGATCCCCAGAACCTACGGGGAGAGGAAAAAGGGAAACAGCCAAATGAAAGGGTTTTGGTTTTTTAAGAACATAGAACAATTTGTTAGGAAGAAAAGGAGGCTCAAAAAAGTGTGGCAATTCATGTGATAACTAGAAATCAAGTAGACGGAAGGATAATTTGAACATACTCTGCAAAGGACTAATTTAAAGAAAAAAACAAAACTTCTCTCCCATGTAAATGCTTTGGCTTCTTTGCCCCACTGTAAAAATCTGTCTCCTAATTTCCCTGGCCGATGAGATACCGAGTAGTCTAAGTCCAGTAACAGAAGCAGCTCCTTTGTCAGCGGACCTCGGGGCTGCGGATGAGCCCAGGGCCTTGCACCAGGCAGGCCCTCCGCCCGTCCAGCCCCAGTGGTGAAATTCTAAGTGTGGAGGGTGTGCAACTTTAGTGATAAAGTGGCAAGTGACCAGACTCCTCCCACATTATACATCTCTTTCATTAGGGAACCGTTCATCTCCTTGAGACCCCAACACAGGACAGGCCGGAGGCCTGCATCTGCAGTCGTGCAATCCCCACACTGGCCAGAAGCAGTGTCACTGGGTGTCGTCCATCGGAAGTGACGTCATGGCGTAAAGCTGGTCTAGCGAGATCCAAGAGCCAAGGGTTGACAACGTTCAGCGGGGTAGAGTCCAAGCAAAGAATCAAGAAAACAGGCGTCCCCATTTCTCCAGGCCACCTTTGCAGCCTGTCCCTTGTGAGGAAGGTCCCCACCCGCCATTGCCACAGAGGGTGAGAGGAAGTTGGAAGTGACACACACACTGCAGGGGGGACCTGAAGTAGTCACCATGAGGTCTGCCACCCTTCCCTCTGTGCTAGGCTGGGGTGCAGTGGCCCTGTTAGCTTGGGCAAAGAGGGGGCAAAGGCAAAGGTGACCCCACAGCGGCCTACAAATGTGAGCTGGGCATGGTGGGGCACACCTGTGGTCCCAGCCCTAGGAGGCAGAGGCAGGCGGATCGCCATATGCTCGTGTCCAGCCTGGGCTACATAGTGAGACCAGGCTCAAAAAACTAAAATGAAATGAAGGGTTGCTGTGAGCTGCTGGGACCTGGGCCCACTTGTCACTGAGTCTGGACACTGCAGTGGTGGAGCTCATTTGGGACACAGGTACCAGACAAAGTGGATGCTTCCCACGTCGATCTTTCCTGGTCATGCTGATAGGTTCTGGCCCAAGTATAAACTGCTAAGTCGTCATGGTGGTCATCTAATACGGCTGAAGCCCTTAAAACAAAAGCCCATCTTCCCCCAGACCACCTCCCCTTCTTCTCCAACTCAGCCCAGGGTACGGTTTCCTTTCCCCCTTCCCACCGCCTCAGGGAAGACCCCACTCAGCTCCCTCAGGTATCTAATATCCCTTCAATCTCCACCCCTGACAAAAGGCCGTGAATGCCTCAGCCTCCCTTTGTTCCAATGGCGACAAATCCCATCTTCCCACATGCTCTCCGTGCTCTCAAAGATGACAAAGCCCCTTCCGCTTTTCCTTCTGCCTGTTTCTCTGCTGCGCCAGGCACCTGAAAAATCCTGTCATGTGCCCGCTGCCTCCTAGATGAAAACAGGGGCTGCCTGCCCTGCGCACCTGTCGGGGTCCCCATGGCCACCCGGCCCTGCTGCCCTCCAAGTCCTGCATCCCGGTTGCCACGGGGCGACCTCCTCACTCATACCGGCCACCAGCCTGGGCCCACATGTCACCTCCCTGCTCTTCAGAACCAACAGAGACCCCTCTCCGCGCCCTGTGTTCCTCTCGTCGCCGATGCCTCAGGCCGAGCCCCCAGAGCTTCTGTGTGCTGATCTGTATTCCTGTCCCTCAGACCCAGGTCACCTAACACCCACCCTTGTCCATTCCAGTTTGCTTTTGTCCATTTGTTGTTTGAGACAGTCTCACTGTACAGCCCAGGCTGGCCTTAAATGCACAGGAGTCCTCCTGCCTCAGCTTTCTGAGTTCTGGGCTCATGCCTGGCTTGAGAACACAAAGTTACAACGATGATGACAAAGCAAGGTGAAATGTAAAAGGGCACACTGACACAGATGGTGAAGGCGCCTGTGCTTGGGCACGAGGCGAGGGGCGTGGCTCTTGCACGGGAGGGTGGGGGCTGCTGCAGGCTCCCTCTCTTCAGCCAGGGCTGGGAGGTCACAGCCTCAGAGGCACGGTGACCCCTCCACACCCTCACGCTGTCCACTGGGGTTTCCAACAGGGATGGCCTCATCCTGTCTGGTGAGGCTCCTGGCTGCTGTATGCAGGCTGCCTGCTGCTGCCAGCTCACATCCCCTTACTTCCTGCCTCTCCCAGGGCTCCTGGCCTAGCTCTTTCCTTCCTGGGAAGGACCAGGAAAGGTCCTCCGATTCTCTGGACTCCCTCTTCACTGTGGGCTTGGTTCCCTGTGACTGGTGTCATCCGGGCCTCTGCCAGGAACTGGTGAGGGGTGCAATCCCAGACCTGGGCCCAGCACTGCCAGCCCTGCCTGGGCCTGTTGCAAGCCTCACAAGCCCTCCCTCAAGCAGCATCTTCCCAGCTACGGGAAAGAAAGAAGGGCAAGTGGTGGGGTGTGAGTTCTGCGCCAGGGCTTCCCTGTGCCTTCATATGGCCCCTCAAGGAGGACTGGCCACAGCTGAGCATGTGGCCCAGACACAAGAGGACAATGGTCCCAGGACTCAGGCGACGGGGAGGTCGGACAAAGGGCTTTGCTCTGACAGCACCTGCTGGCCCCGCCTGTGCTCTGCCCCGCCTGTGCTCTGCCCTGGGACCCCTCTGTGGACCAGGCTGTCCTGCGCCCCAGCTCTCGCCTTGCCCTTGAGCACGCCGCAGTCCCACAGCGGCATGCTGTTCGCCAGCACACAGCGGCTGCCCCACCTGTGCACCC